TTCAAATGTGAGGAGGGCTGGGAATGAAGTTCAAGTCGCAAATAAAGTGAGATCTAAAGGTGATATTCACATCCTTTATCGCCGTTTGCGTCACTTTCACGTGATCTTTTGTCCTCTGTATTCATTTTAGATTATTTAATTGACTTAGCTCAGCAAAGTTTAAGGCGTTTAGCCGCAAAATCATGTTCATTTTCAGCTTGCGTTCCTCTGGGATGATGCTTTATTGACCAAGCTTGTTCAGTCAAGATGGCTGGATGTTGGCTTCGTTCCGTTTTTGCGTGTTTATGGAGCTCGACTTTGTCTCGGTCAATAACCCATATATATCAGTAGTAGTCTGCATAAAGACTGAGACCGAATGTGGGAGTTAAAATTGATATTTTACAAATGTGAAACAATAGCTTATTTGCTTTTAAGCAAAACTATGCTTTTATGCAAATGTTAATTTTAGCTAAAAAATAAGAAAAAAATACTCATAACTGTGAAACATAAGGGATCAGCATTTACCGCGTAAATTTCAGCAAACAAAGGAAAAAGCGACCAAAGTAACTTTCATGATCAAAAACGGAAGGCTTCAGCTTGACGAGAAATGTTTTACGTGCGTAAACTGTGAGTAATTAGTCATGAGCATTAAATTTAACAACGCCTAATTCCCGATGGACTTTCGCCATTTGAATAGGGCTGTTAACATACGATTTACTCGTAAAAATTGCTTGCTTTCAACCGTACATTTAAGCGACATTCAGGTTTTTGAGGCCAAGAATAGTGAAATTTAACTACGTTCTAAACAAGAATTCTTAGTATCAATCTTCTTTCTTCGGCATTCAGCACCCAGAAACAATTAAAGAACCTTTTAAAATCTGGAATCATAATTTTCGCAATAAGCCATCCCACCCAACGGCTCTCGGAACCCAACGGCACACCATTTCAAACCAAGATAATACATGAACAAAAACAAGATATTTTTGAGGAAATTCTTTGTTCTAAAAGAGCAAATTGCTTGTTCACATTCAAAAGCAAGTTTTTGCTGAATGCGTTTGGTTTCCGTAGAGTTCATGTGCAACATACCAAGTTCCAGGCAGAACAGAGAAGAAAAGATTGATTTGTTTTTTTTTTTTACAAAATAAGATACAATAGCCTTATTATTTTTTAATATAGAAATGTTAATTTTAGTCCATCAAATAATCACATCAAACTCATTAACGAGAAACACGACTGGTTAGCTGTTTACCGTCTCAGCTTTATCCCTAGGAAGGAAACTGGAGCGCCTAAATTTTTTTGAACTTTCGTAATCGAAAACTGAAGGCTCCAGCATTCACTCGTAATCATTTTATGAATTCTCGGGCGAGAGAACGCGAAGGCATGTATTTAACAATTATTCACGCAAAAAGAGGTGAATATAATAGTCTTAGATGTTTACCTGCGATTCACCGACACTGAGATGAATAATTGTTTTAGTATACATTGTATGTTTTCCACACAGGCTGGACAACTAGCGGACAAACTGAAAACTACTTCCTCTGTGAAAATAAACCGACAATAGACCGACAGATGGTCGGAAATTTCAAACTCTACGCTCACTCCGAGCAAACCACTTAGCACTTATGAAAAGCACGAGCTGGTCGACCACAAGTTACCGCCAAACATCGCCTAATTTTTTTCAAAGAAAAGAAACTGCAGGAGCGCCCCAATTAACTTTCATGATTAAAAACTGCGAGTTTCAGCTTTTAATTGTGGTTAATTAACTCTCGTCCGAGAACATGAAGAGAAATGGATTTTCGTGCGTAAACTATGACTGGATACTGTAAATTACATTAGTCAATTCAAATGCATTTACTAGCTCCATATTTCCGATTTGCTTTAGGTTTTTAGTTGAACAGCCTTGTTTCATCTTTTTTTTTTTAAATTGCTGGCTTACAGCTTTATAATTATAGCAAAGCGCCAACCCGGTTTCAAGAGGCCAAGAATAATCCGCTGAAGTTAAAGTTAATACTTACAGCCATTCAATAGTTTGATTACTTACTGTTATGCAGATGTAAATTTTAGTCGATAAAATTATCATCATCAATGGTATTTAGTTGAAACACAAATACATCAGAAGTCAAACTGTCCACACGGACGGCTTCGTATTCGCGGATCGAGCAACACGAGCAAGCGAGAACGGTTGAGTTAATCCAGAAAACATGAATTACACCTCAATCAACAGCACATCAATCAGTTGTGGTCCACAAATTCCATCTCTTCCTATGCCGATTTCCGAGAGATTTTTTCCGGAGTTTCGCGCTGTATTCATCTTCAGAATCGCCATTAATGCTATAAGCGGTCCTTTTGTCATTTTGCTGAACATCCTAGTGATGATGGCAGAAAAAACCAAACGACAGCTTCGCACCAAATCTAATGTATCCGACTCGCCTGTTTAGCCAAAATTGACCTTGTTGTTGGACTTGTACATGTTGTTCAACCTCTTCAAATCGTACACTTTAGCTTTATGCTCAAAGGTGAGACTGACATGATTTTCAGCAGGCTAGCTAAGATAACAATGGTTATTACCTCATGGTGTGTCATAGCGTCGCTTAATCATTTCGTTTCATCGTAGAGCGTTATCTCGCTGTAAAACACTCTTTCGCTTACGAGAACATGGCTACTGATGTTCGTATCATCACAGCTTCTGGTCTGGCGTGGGCTGCCGCGATCATCCTTCCAACAGGAGACTTCTGGCCAGCAAATGTACAATTTGCCCCAAATTTTATAGTACTGCCTGTGGTTATACCGTTTACCTTTCTTGCATTTGTCGTTTATTTTAATGTTTCTATTTTCAAGGAGATTCGTCGCAGCGAAAAACAAATAATTACTAATCAAGTTTCCTTAGAAGTGAAGGAGAAGTTACTCAAGAATAAGAAAGCTTTTTACTGCACAACTACTATACTGCTCGCAATTTTCCTGTGCTATATCCCTGGAATTATCTGTTTTATCATAGTCTTATTTTTTAAAGAGAGCATCCCTATTCATGTTAAACTTATCATGTTTAATCTTTCTACTTTATTTCCGATACTAAATTCCCTATTTAATCCACTGATTTACGCTGTTAGAATAAGGTATTTCCGCGTAGCTTTCATTGAGTTGTTTTCGAGGAAAACGTTTGCACAAGCGGAACAGCTTGAAAGGAATATTTTTGGACCAAAAGAAGTTAGGACTGTAAGTACCGCTGAACAAGGAGCAAACAGGGTTAGCCGCCGGGAAGATGAAGTGCTGGAAGGAAATGAGACATTGACTAATGGCAACTTGGATGGGAACACAGTTGAAAGAGAAACGTGAAGAAACAGTGCAGTATGGTCAACGCCAGGACTAATCTCAGTTCATACTTACTGTCGGCTTTTCAACTATCCGGAGTAAAAGCGGTTTATGATCATGCGAAATACATTAGAAAAAAATGCAAAACATTATGGCGTAAATGACCTGGTACTAAGACAGAGATAGCACTAGAAATCAAAGATCATCTTGTAACCTATTTCACAGGGAACGAGGTTGATTTACCTTGGTGTATGTCAAAAATTCGCTGTATGTAAATTGAAATCATGTACACAATAGTAAATTTTAAAGAAAATATAGATCTGACAATTTAGTATTCCATCCTATCTGAGTATTTTGTTTAATTTCTAAGCTTAGCAGTTACCTAAACTGAGACAAGAAAATGAAATGGAGCGCACCGGGCAGAAATTCAAAGATTTAAAGCGCAGGATTAGAATTGGAATATCTAACGCTTAGGCTTCTATAGCTTAAAATCACAACAAAAAGTTACACTTAATCTTCTTCATTTTACATTACAGTCCCAGAAAGAAATACAAGATGATCTAAAATCCATTATCCTCGTCTCGTAATAAGACCCCAGCATCCCGAAAGCCCCCTCCCCCACTCCCTAGAAGCCTCGTCCGGCAGCTGTTAAACACTCAAGGTTCCATATTGCAAATCGCATACCCAAGTCACTCTCGATCGATAGACGACTATAACTATTCTGAGGACTCGGGTCTCAAAATCACATAGGATATAGTGGTAAAATCACGAATATCGG